TCGATAATATTTTTAGCAATAAATTATTCACATATTTAAAATTTTCTTTAAAAATTTTCTTATTCTAGATATTCTTACTAAAAATGCTTATTAACATAAAAAAGAAATAATTAATATATAATTAATACAAGCAATTTAATAATTTTTTTTTCCTTTAAAGTATAGTATATATTTTACTTTACGTAGAATTTAGTTGAAATTTGTTACTCGGGAGTTTTTCGTGGTCACTGATTACGAATCTAGCCTCAGATTTTCAAAATTCAAAATGATGGATCCAAGATGGCGGACAAAAAATTAAAAAATTAAATAGTTTTAGGTTGTAAAATGGGTTGTTTCGAATAATTTTAATTTTAATTTTAATTTTAATTTTTTAATTTTGATTTCAAATTCGCAATAAACGACCCAAAAAAAACCTACTTGACTTATTTTACAGTCCAAAACTAATTTTTTTAATTTTCTGTTCGCCATCTTGGATCCATTTTAAATTTTAAAAATATGAGGCCAGATTCATAATCATAATCAGGGACCGCAAAAATCCCCGAATAACAAGTTTCATTGGAATCAAGCAATTTTTCGCTTTTTGGATCCGCCATTTTGAATTTTTTAATTTTGACTTCAGATTCGTAATCAGTGACTCAAAAACCTCTCAGACTTCATTTTCGGCTAATTAATTATTGTTGATTAGTCACAATCACATTTATTGTTAAAAAAGGATGAATTTTTCCAGTTTGTTTATTTATAAAATACATTTCGTTAACAATAGGAACGTTTCTATGATTTTTTTATAACAGTTGATGTTCTAATCACTGATAATGTTTTTTCCTTGTAGTAATATGTTAGAAATTGTATGAAAAACATAAAAAACAGAGGTTAAAAAGATCTCATATATGTAGGACACTGTGCCGCAAAGGATTAACATAAAGAAAATATTAAATTATGTGATTTAATATTTTGTTTAATGAAATATTATAAGTGAAATAAATTATATTCTGATTACTATTACTATTTCTGATTACTATTCTGATGCTGATTTCAAGACCAAAAAAAATTTTGGCGCGCGGTATACAGAATCTGAATATATATATATTTATACAAAAGTATGTATTTAATCACTAAGATCCATTTTGACTGAAATAAATATATAAACTTAAATCCGCTATTTTTTAGTCAGAAAACACATTTTTTTCCTAGGAAGCAAAAACAAATTTATTCAAAGTACTTGCCCTCGCTAACTATATTTTTCCCATCTTTCGGGCAATTTGTGTATACCATGCCAAAAAAATTCTTCATCTTTCGAAGCAAACCACTCATCAATATATATATATATATATATATA